ATCATCACTTCGTTCAGGTTACGTATTGCTATCTGCCTGTGTTCTCCACCACCATAAACCATTCATTTGTTCATATCATCAACTTGTCCACAGTTTATAATACTAGCTGGGGATAGTACAGGTCACCTCTCAGTTAACAGGGACACTTAAGAGTATTTACGTTCTACTTATACAGACGGTAAATATTTATCTTAGTGACAAATTCTATTCATATCTAAAGACCATGCATAAAGTAACTCATTGGTTAGGGTAATGTAATAGCATTAGGGTGAATGATAGCATAAGGCAGTGTGCGGGACCGCATTAGATACTTTACATTCCTATAAAACATTAGTTGGTGAACTCGGCTTAAGACTGTGGACATATGTATGATTTAAGACCACAGTTATTCCTTCACCCTTATCTCCTCTCTGTTTCATGTTATGTTACTGCTAGTGTCACCTGGGCATTCTCTTAATTACTGTACACTATATGCATGGCTGAGTTGCTCTCTGTAAACATTTTTTAGATCTCTTTGTTGTTGATTGCATGTGAATATTTAGTCGTGGATCTTGATTTTTATGTAGCTGTCAAAATTCGAGCTGTACAAATCTATTATCACTTAAATTATAGCCGACTTCTCCTCGGCCGTCTGTATAGTATATATTCTCATGTCAGTCTTCTCTCTACATATTACTACATCACAGGCTACCTCTCTTACCCACCACCACTGTGTGCTTGAGTTGCTTTAATGAATTGTGGATGATGATTCTACACCTGTATGTCCTCATCTTCATCCACTTGCATGATTCTACAGTAGTAAAGTGAACAGAGTACATTGTAGTGCTACAGCTTATAGCCACAACTATATTCATACGTGACCTCCTGTCCTGCTCAGTGCCAAACCGTAACAAGTGAGGAATGTACAATACCTCAGCTACTGTGATGTGAATGTTGTCAAGGCAGCACTAAGGTCAGGTCGTTACATAAGACAGTAATCTCTGAGCTCCTTGAATCCATATATAAGTTTGTGGCCATATTCTTATTGTCTTTGTGAAGGGAGTGCATTCATAGTACAGTACAGTATAGCATTGACTGAGGTGTTTTGGTCATGTTCAACAGCCTCCTCTTATGACAGTACCTTTGTCTGGTGGAAAAAGCTCTTAGTTCATGTAGGGTCGTGCTGTATATCCTGTTGTAGGTATTAATTCTCTAGATGGTCGAGCTTCAGGTCGTGTGAGTGTGTGTGTGTCATTTAGGGTCCTGTTTGTGATTGTCAAAATGTTCTAGTTCTACTCTTTTCACTTCTCTTGTTACATAAAAGAAATTAAGTCATTCTCCTGATCTGTTCTGTTCAGACATTATCAGAGTTTTAATTGTCTAACTTTTGTGATTTTGTCTTTGTTCATGTTGTTTAGGTAATCACAGTGCCCAGTGTTGTTTATAAATATATTTGTGCAGTAATGGGGTTTGGTGTGGGGAGGTTTGCTAATGGTGTACAGCAATAGGTTTGTCTTTGCATTCAAGCAAGTCTTGTATTGGAGATTCTCATTGATGTTTTATTTGTGTTTATTATTATAGTTTAGTACAGTAGTTGGCTATCTTACACTTATTTATATTTATTTCAAGGTGTTTTACGTTATAATATTGTTATGCAAGTCGCTATCATGAGAACATTTTATTTTATTTCAATATGATACACCATATATATGTACAGTACTTCAATAGGTTTTAAGGTAGTGTGCGTGGAAGTGTGTGTCTGTGTACATAAGCATGTCCACCTATGCCCTGTTTAATATTATTACTGGAATATTTTTGACATCTCCATTTGCAAATCTTGATCCGAGATGACTTTGCAATGTTTTTTAACCAGCCAACAGCTTAAACTTGGTCATGCACAGTGCTTCTGCCTAGACAGTTTTCACCCATTCAAACATCAGACCTCAGGCCATGACAAAGCTACATTGTTTATGTTTTATTTCTTACATATTTAAGTACAGTATTTGTCTTAATCTAATCTCTCAAGTACTGTATTGTCCTTTTTCCTAACGCACATTTATACCTTCCAGGGTGACAATACAAGGAGAAAATGTCACTGTACTTCTTGCTAAACATTGGTCTTGGTCCATAACTAATGTTTGTTATGTGAATAAACAGACTAGCAGGTGTTATGTGACTGATGCTAGGGATGCTAGTTGAGGTACTGTAGTGTGAGAGGAGTCTTGAACAAAAGGTGTGTGTGTGTGTGTGTGTGTGTGTGTGTGTGTGTGTGTGTGTGTGTGTGTGTGTGTGTGTGTGTGTGTGTGTGTGTGTGTGTGTGTGTGTGTGTGTGTGTGTGTGTGTGTGTGTGTGTGTGTGTGTGTGTGTGTGTGTGTGTGTGTGTGTGTGTGTGTGTGTGTGTGTGTGTGTGTGTGTGTGTGTGTGTGTGTGTGTGTGTGTGTGTGTGTGTGTGTGTGTGTGTGTGTGTGTGTGTGTGTGTGTGTGTGTGTGTGTGTGTGTGTGTGTGTGTGTGTGTGTGTGTGTGTGTGTGTGTGTGTGTGTGTGTGTGTGTGTGTGTGTGTGTGTGTGTGTGTGTGTGTGTGTGTGTGTGTGTGTGTGTGTGTGTGTGTGTGTGTGTGTGTGTGTGTGTGTGTGTGTGTGTGTGTGTGTGTGTGTGTGTGTGTGTGTGTGTGTGTGTGTGTGTGTGTGTGTGTGTGTGTGTGTGTGTGTGTGTGTGTGTGTGTGTGTGTGTGTGTGTGTGTGTGTGTGTGTGTGTGTGTGTGTGTGTGTGTGTGTGTGTGTGTGTGTGTGTGTGTGTGTGTGTGTGTGTGTGTGTGTGTGTGTGTGTGTGTGTGTGTGTGTGTGTGTGTGTGTGTGTGTGTGTGTGTGTGTGTGTGTGTGTGTGTGTGTGTGTGTGTGTGTGTGTGTGTGTGTGTGTGTGTGTGTGTGTGTGTGTGTGTGTGTGTGTGTGTGTGTGTGTGTGTGTGTGTGTGTGTGTGTGTGTGTGTGTGTGTGTGTGTGTGTGTGTGTGTGTGTGTGTGTGTGTGTGTGTGTGTGTGTGTGTGTGTGTGTGTGTGTGTGTGTGTGTGTGTGTGTGTGTGTGTGTGTGTGTGTGTGTGTGTGTGTGTGTGTGTGTGTGTGTGTGTGTGTGTGTGTGTGTGTGTGTGTGTGTGTGTGTGTGTGTGTGTGTGTGTGTGTGTGTGTGTGTGTGTGTGTGTGTGTGTGTGTGTGTGTGTGTGTGTGTGTGTGTGTGTGTGTGTGTGTGTGTGTGTGTGTGTGTGTGTGTGTGTGTGTGTGTGTGTGTGTGTGTGTGTGTGTGTGTGTGTGTGTGTGTGTGTGTGTGTGTGTGTGTGTGTGTGTGTGTGTGTGTGTGTGTGTGTGTGTGTGTGTGTGTGTGTGTGTGTGTGTGTGTGTGTGTGTGTGTGTGTGTGTGTGTGTGTGTGTGTCCTCCAGTGTTGCATGCACATCACTTGGATCTGTATACAGTATATTCTTCCCTAAGCAATATTATAATAATGACGGAGAAACATATTTTGCATACGATTGAATACTGTAGGTATGATTTTGCTTTAGTTATATGAAAGTATTTTGTTTAATAAAATTGTTTGGGTTGAATGTTTACAGATTGATAAATATAAATTATTAAGAATGCCCTTATTATTGTAAAGACCAGGTGAGCCCTTCAGAAACTCATGCTCTATTAAAAATTTCCCATGTGTTGCCTTCACGGAACCAAAATGATCGATACTGATGTGGTTTGTTGTTTACAGATCTCCGTATGTTCCCCGTGGAGACAGCTCCGAGGACGAGGTCGGCGGTGGAATTGGGAGCGACCTTACTCGTTCAATCACCGCCCCCTCCTTTATTACGCGCGATCCCAGCCACGATGATCTCCTGGGTTCAGTCTCTAGCCTCCCACAAGGTCAACAGCGAGAAAGTGACTCAGGAGGACTTACAGTGATCAACATCAAGCACGCCCTAAGTGAGACATTCGTGGAATCCCGCACCGAGGATTCTAACATATCTTCCATCCATATTGGAGGCGAAGAAGAAGGAAATCTAGAAGACGACATTGAGGAAGGGCCGTTTACAATAACCTTTAAGAATGTTTCTGAAGCCCAGCCAGAATACAGTCCTAAGGTAGACCTAGAACCAGAGTCAGAGGACCATGAGGTCTTAGGAGTTCTTCAGGACGACGGCGTAAGTTTGGGTCGACCTCCGGGAGTTGACCCCTATGCTTATACTAATCCAGAAAGCTTTACTAATCTACATATATTAACTGGGACTAATGTTTCTTGTGTCACTAACGAGTTTTTACTGAGCAACCGTGTAGGGAATAATTTAACTGGAGTTGATGGTGCTTTTCAGACCCCAGGTACTTTTGAGCTCTCCAGCAGTACTCCTGTGAACCTTCAGCAGCAGTCATCATTAAGATTAGTTAGGTTTGCAGAGTCTAAAGGGAGAAGTGAACACAGTGAATCTTCTGACTCCAGTGCCGAAAGAAGTAGCTCCTTACTTGTCGAGTGCGATTCTGACAGACATTCCGTTAGTGACGTTTTATCGGATGATTTAAATCCGCCGAGTGCTAGGTTGGTGATCGCTCACATCACGGACGTTGAGAATGTTGTACAGAGGCGTTCTCTGACGGCTTCCAAATCCTTCGACGAGACATCGCGCATCACGACTCCGTACATTGAAAGACAATACAGTGAGATCATTCCTGACTCTATATATTTGGCTCAAGAGCATTTGATCCCACCTGGAAAAACTGAACCTAATAGATATAAACAACCTTACGGTGGAAGTAGTTCGGCAACAGGTGAAGCAAATAGGATCGTTAAAAGTGAATCTAATTCCGTTTGTATATCCAGTCGTTTATCTCCTAGTGAAGAATTAGTAAAAACTAGGCAACTTCCACCTAATGAATTTGACAGTGTACAGCATTCTCTTTTAAGTAGTGAAATAGACACAAGACTATCAGTTTCAGGTACAATATATGTTAAAAAGTTATCACCGGAAAGTAATCACGCACCATCTATCACCACCACCACAACAACTACTAGAGCGGCATCGACCGTAGGAGCGACAGTAACCACAACATTATCCTCGACAGTATCAACGTTGTCTACCTCGGCTAAAACAAACATGACGGTCACACAGGTAGTGGCTATGTATCACTTGGCCGTTCCATCTGTTGTCAGCTTACTAGCGGTTTGGACTTAGCTGAAGCTGCTCAAGTTTATATGCATGGCTGGATACATCTCTTGTTTTCATTTATTTATTTATTTATTTTATCTTTTTCGTGTTATTCGTTACTTGATATATAGATAAAAATTAAAGTGTGCATGTTTGTGTTAGCATGGGCATTAGGATATGTGCACTCGACTGTCAGGTACAGTAGCTAAAACAACTATCTGTGCACACTTTGTGGGAAACAATATGAGAACATGGACGATAAATATTGGTATACGAGGGCTGTCACTAGTCACACGTAAAATTTCGGAGCATATCGACCCCCACCTGCACAGATAGTTGTTTTAACTACTGTACATAAAGTAAATATATACATCCAGTTATGAAATTCAAAACCAATTATAGAATAGTTAACAATGGTTGGAGCTGTCCCGTAGCATATGCTCTGATGTGTTTTATAATAATCATGTACTGTATATATGTTACAATCGCTCTGTCTAATTAGGCATTCTGTAAAATTCACGTGAAAATGTTTTGTTTCGTATTGTGTGTAAGTTAGGTCAGGTCAGGTTGGGTTAGGTTGTTCATCTGAAAACTGCAAAGATTTAATTAAACTTAACACCGAACCTAACCTAACCTCACCTCTACACAACATGAAACAGAACATTTTTACTAGTATTTTACACATTGCTCGATTTAACACATTGATTATAACATATAGATATACTTTACCAGCAGAGCCATCCAGTAAGGCGAGGGTTAAGAGTTAATATCCAGTTAATGTACAGTCACAGGTTGATGGCAAATTAAATCGGCATAAACAGGTTCCCTACCCCGCACTGAGCAAATAGGCTTGGCAACCATTGATAAGACATGTTTGGCAAAATGGTGAATAGGAAAAACAAAATTGATAGATGGGGAAAATATATGTTCAGTACCTAGAAGTTATTACTGCACCAAAATTTTAGTTATTGATGATAGTTACGTCAATTGAAATGTGCTGTATTATCCAATCATAAGTCTTGTTTCATAATGAGCTTTTGGAGGTCCATTTTACCTCACTTATCACCGAGGCGATCGTTCAGTAAGTCCATTTTACCTCACTTATCACTGAGGCGATCGTTCAGTAATACCTTTATATGCTATATTTAATTCCATCAAAGGCTATACAGTGGTCCCTCGGTTAACGAGCACAATCCGTTCCAGCAGGTTGCTCGTTAACCGAAAAACTCGTTAACCGAAACCATTGTTTCATTGGGTTTTTGGGTAATTGGTTCCAGCTCACCGAAAATTGCCTAAATTCAACAACAAAGGTAGAAAAGTACACTTTCTTTGAGGTGTGTATGTAGCAGGCTCCTGGATGATGATGATGATGATGATGATGATGATGATGATGATGGGAATTAGAATGGGGGTGGAGGAGAAGGAAGAAGAGAAGTCACCCCATGGCACCATTTCACCCATAACATTTTAGTTCTCTTGGTGTAATTCAAGATTATTTTCTTTAAATCAACACTGCACTGCACTATATATTGTCAATATGTAAATTAAATTTCAAAATGACCAATAATTTGCTTGGAAACACAGAAAAAAGCATTTAGTTGAAGAGAGTCTCAAGCAAAATGTTACCTCCACTGAAAACAGAGAGAGACTGTCTGGTGTATTAACAGGCTGGATGGCACGCCAGAAACTAGTTTCTTTACCTTCAATTATGTTCGATAATTGTTAAAATGACTAAAAAAGTTAATATTAAACTTCTAAAATTATTGAATAGTATAAACTTCTTGATATTTACTAAAATAAAAAGGAATTTAAGCCCTAAAACCAATTACTGTATTGGCGGACTAATACTACAGCTGGTGGACCGCCAAATGCAAGCGAAAACATGTTGAAGTCGGCTCGTAAAAAACTCGTTAATCGAGGGATTGCTCGTTAACCGAAGTTAAGAATCTTATGGAAGGTAAATCGTTAACCGAAATCTCGTTAACCGAGCCGCTCGTTAACCGAGGGATCACTGTAGTTAGTTAGAGCGTTTTCTTCAGGTCATCAGGTTACTGCAACGTGACATTAATATTCTACACCTTATCTTACCTCTTAGGATATTATCAGTATGTATTTGGGTAACATATTTTAGTGTGTATGAATAAGTTTAGTGTGTATGAATAAGCTTAGTGTGTATGAATAAGCTTAGTGTGTATGAATAAGCTTCATGTGTATGAATAAGCTTAATTAGTTCATTGGCTGTCATTTGTAAAGAATCATATGAATTGTACTAGATGTTCTTCCTTGACTAGTTTCAACATTAGAATAAGTTGCATTATGTTAGAGTATTTCCCTTATTGTTTATCCATATGATGAAAATTTGTGGTGATTTTGAAGTTGATGTTTTTTTTTTCTTGATATTTATTGTGATTTAGATTCTGGACATGGAATTAGATAGAGAGATGAGGTGGTCAGAGTACCCAGTAATGGATAGGAAGTGTTTGTTGCTTGTGGGGTGAAGTTCTGTGGTGCTGAGTATAGTGAAGGTGTCAAGGGGACTGCACAGCTCTCAACTATCATTTTGGTCAGAATTTTCAACTTTTAGTCAAGCCAGAACTGTCAACTACCAGTTAACTCTCAGTCAGGCCAGTGTGGTCTATTGTTAGAAGTGTGTATGTCAACACCCCAATAGATTAGGGTAATCAACACCCAATCAGGCCAGGGTAATCAACAATCAGGCCAGGGCAATGAGCTCCCATTAGGCAAAAAAAAACCCAATCAAATCCCACCTTAGCCACAGTTGTTAACATTTGATCAAGCTAGATCTATCACCTCCATGTGAGAGTGTGATGGGTGTTCGGTGTACTGACGAGTTGACTGCTTGTATCTGTGCTGTAGAGGGATGTGTTGGGAGAGGATATGTGGAGGATACTGTACTTTGTTGTAGTCAGTGTACTGTACCACATAGAGAGAGAGAGAGGATATGTGGAGGATACCGTACTCTGTTATGGTCAGTGTACTGTACCACATAGAGAGAGAGGGAGGATAAGATAGAATGATTACACTGGCTCATAGACATATATCTGCTTTATAATAGGTAACATAGAACATTACTTTGTGTGTGGGAAACATATCCTCAAAGTACTTATGGCTAACTCTCAGGGAAACAGTCTCTCATGGGCATAACTTTGATGATAAATTTATTGTTAATGTTTTGAGCTGTTGTGTTGCTGGAATGTGTACAGGTCATCATCCTAAATAGAAAATAGGGAGTTTTATTTCCTTCCATGGCAGAGGGAGTAGAAGACCAAAACAGCTATGTATGGGAGACATCTAGGGACCCTTAGTAATGTGTGTTGGTTATAGATATTTCCATTATGATCATTGTATTTGCTGGGTAATTTATGTTAACTTAATCCTTGAATTTTTATGATTTTTTTTAATTATAAAAGTCACATGTACATTGCTGAGTTCCCCTGATTAGGATAAACATGTGGATTGTCATATTGGGGAAATATAGAGCGAGATAGATTACAGACCTTAGTCCCAATTGGCCTCAGCTTTAATGGGCCCCAAACCTAACCTAACCTCTAATTGGCCTTAGCTTTAATGGGCCCCAAACCTAACCTAACCTCTAAGATTGAGAGTCATTATCATTGGAGCACATGGGGACTAAGGTCCATTAGGATTGGGTCTCACTCTAATACATTAGTTTAGGTTAATGTGTATTAGGACTGAGACACTGATGATGGGTTGCAGTCTTATACAAATTATCACTATTTTATACAGATTTAATATTCTTAAGGTTCAGTTTTACCTTATACAGTACAGTATATATATTTTATGTTTCTTAGAGTTATAATTTTGCTTTTTTATGCTTGATAACTATCTTAGTTGTATTAGATGAATATAATGCATGAATTTTAGGCCTTTTATGTGTTAATAATATTACCACTTAACAAAATACAGTGGGTTGTGGTCTGCTTGTACTGTTACCACCTTAATGTTCAAATTGTTGTTTCTGGACTCTAATTACAGGATACAGTACATGTAATCAAATTTCTAAAGATACAGTACAGTACTTGTATTAATGTCATTGTTTTAGATATACTGTAGTTTCTCATTTGTTTTATTGTTTATTATACTGTACATGAACCAATAAGCCATGACCAAAGCATCCTGATTCACAGCTTCTTCAGGTTCACTCTGAGAAATTAAATGAAATAATGAAACAATATAATTTTCATCTTGCTTTAGTACATTTGAAAGGAGGAGAAGATTTTAAGGTGAAGTAATAATACAGACAGACCCATGATAAGTGAAATTAGATTTGCTTGTGCGTACAGTATATGATAAACCTCAGTCGTAATGGGTCGAACCCCCACTCTCTTGTAAACATAATGATAAGAGCCTGTGAGGACTGGGGGCCCTGTATGTTGATTTTGTAGAGCATGTTTTAGTCACTTTTGATGTATTGTTAACCTTCAATTAGGGTATGTAGTTTGCATTCATACTAGGCACTAATTTTGCTTTGTTTTTTGGAAGACTATGAAAAGAAGAGTTCACAAATGGATAAACTTCTCTCGTTCTGTCAAATCTGTAAGAAGATATTACTAAGAGTATATTACTAAGCACAGTCTTTAAATATCTTAAGTAATTTTTTTATTTTTATGTTTAGGTTATTATACTACTGACATATAAACACCAGAATGTCTGTTGACCTCGGAAATAACTTACTTCACTGTTAACAGGGCATCACAGTAGCAGCCTCTGAGGGCCGCTCTGCCTCCTCTAGCCCCATGTTGGATGGTAAACACTGGGGTCCCGAACGCACAGTTGAGGTAAGCGTTGAGACATCTATTACCTAAAGGGTGAATTTGTATCTTTTTCCACCTTTTCTGGAGGGGTTTCTTTCCCTTGAGCCTATGCAAAAAATGAGAGAGGAGTTGGCTTTTCATTTTGACCTAATCGTATGGTGATCTGTATCTCATCATGCTGTTTCTTGCAATGGCTTAGAAGTGAATGATTCTCGAGAAACTTATTTTAACCTCAGCTTGAGCAAGAGACAGCGTGATGAGTGAAAGGTCTTGGTCACCACCAGAGTGAAGTGATCTATCCATACAATTAGCTACAGTGTTTTGATATACAGTATCACTATGTACTGTACAGGCTTTCTATATTTCCCAGAATAAGGAGTATCTTTATTAGTTTTTGAAGTTGTATGTTTTCTGCTGTAAAACTTAAAGATTTTGTGATATCTCACTGAAAGACCTTGGCATTTGAAGCATTAAATTAAATAAAACAATTAAAATTGGTTCCCTTTTTAAGATTACCATTTGATCTAACTAACAGGAGATGTATAGAAGGAAAAATGATGGGAAGATAGAAAATGATGGTTTGTTTTGGTAAGTTAACTGGTTGTAATGTGACTTAGATTTGTGTTGTTGTTTTTTTTTAGCTTTTTTTAGCCCTTTGCTGTTATATTCTGTAGCTACCAGTATTTTTATCCCTTCCTCTACCCAATCACCTTTTTCTTTGGTTTCTCTATTCCCTGATAACAGAAGTGGAGAAGGAGTAGATGTAATTATAGAGATAAATCGATAATTATTTCATTAATTTCTCCAGCTGATGATAGAGTTTTTAGCCATTGTCTTATGTTCATTTATATGCTCTTTGAAGTCCTGCTCACTGTTAGGGGTCAGCTAAAAATCAAAGGTCAGAGTGAACCCCAGAGTAGAAAAATAGGTTTCCTTTGATGACTGATGAACTAGTGGGGATTTTCTTGTTATTTTTTATTCAAGAATCCTAAATGATTACTGTATTATATTTTAGGATGTGCAATAAGCCTAAAAATAAGAAAAGTATAAGAGCAAAAGAATAACGAAAAGTAGAATGAAGGATTAAAGAAAAGTATAAGATTGACGGACTAAAGAAAAGTATTAAGAAGATATTTATTCATGTTATATAAGAGTATAACATTTCACAGGTGCGTCGGGATGAGAAGAACTCTCTGGGAATATCCATCGTTGGGGGGAAGGTGGATCTTAGTTGGTCTGGCTCTTCTGTGACGGGAATCTTCATCAAGAATGTGCTTCCTGACTCTCCTGCAGGGAAGGGCGGCCACTTGAAGGTGTGTACTACTTGGTTGACCAGTTCCTCCTGCAGTGTTGAGAAGTTATCAGTCCTTTAGTTTTTTTCAAGTGTTTTTGCTCCAATGTGCTGTCAAATATTCTCTTACACATATCCCTTTCTTTGTAGTGGAGATGTATAGTACATTACTTTTAAGAAGAAATGATTAGAGACATTATATTTTGAAAGGTCTATATGAAAAACATCACTTCCACTGAATCCACATAAAATAATACCTTGAGGATCTGTGGGAAATATGGGGCTAGGTTCCTGGATCTCATTAGTTCCCCCATGACTGGTTACAGGAAAGTTAGATCTTATGAACTGGCCAGTGTAGATGTAACCCACTACAGATAAATACTGTATTCTCTCTCTGATTCTATTTTAATGATGCTTTTCTTTGTGCTATCATTCCATTCTACAATATATAACATTATCATTAATATTAGACAATTTAAAATGGTGTGGGATTGCATTGTTTAAGCACATATATCTTCCTTGGTTCCATAGTGACCGAGTCATTACTGTACTGACATTCTGCTAGAAATTGTGGAATATGCAGGAGAAAACAGTACAGGGATGAGATCTTTACAGACAGATCTGGCCTTTTATCCTAAACAAGGGGAATATGAATGTTTGAAAGCATTAATTTTTTTATTTAATTACTAAAATAAACTCAATTAACTATACACATGATGTGAGGGTTCTACTGTTTTGTATTTATAGCAACAAGATCATTTTGATATATTGAAACAATATTATTATTTTCTTAACCTTTGTCAACCTTACATTAGGTGTGAGAAAGCTGGAATGAGTTTAAAAATGACTTGTTGGAGGATTCATGTATTGTACTGTACCTGCTTTTGACAGACTGGTGACCGCATCTTAGAAGTGGAGGGGATTGATCTCCGAGGAGCAACTCACGAAAAGGCTGTGGAAGTCATCAAGAAGACCGGCAACCCCGTCACCTTTGTTGTTCAGAGCCTTGTTCAGTGGGTGAGTTGATGCTGACCTGTGTAGCTTAAGTCCTGGTACCATACACCTCTCACCATGGTACAACTTCACCAACACACTACATCCTGCCATTGATTTATCTTTCTCAGTTGCCCTATTATTCTATCCTTCTCACTTGCCCATTCTTCTATCCTTCTCACTTGCCCCATTCTTCTATCCTTCTCACCTGCCCCATCTTCTATCCTTCTCACTTGTGCCTCTGAATTACCCCTCAAATGCACACATGTACACACCCCTTATTAAAATCCTATACTGCACTGTTTACCTTTAGTCATCATTTGCTTGTTATTATGATTTAGAATTTTAATAATTTTTCCCTCGATCATTTTCCACATGCCTATGCCACCACATTAAATCATAAAATTGTGATGTAATTTGAATTGTAAAATTTTTATTTGCATTAAATTATGGTGACATTGTTTTTTTTTTGTTTTTTTTTTCCGACTGTCGTGTTTGTCATTTGCACTCTTGGAAAGTTCAAAGTAGCAAATAAGTGAACCAAATTAAGAGAAAATCAGCAGTGTGTGTGTAATACTGTATTTCAATTACTTTCAGACGCCAGCAAATTCAGCCCCTGGTTCTCGTGATGTGAGCCGACTGGGCACCAGATACCCCACCTCTATTACTCCTGCAAGAACACCAACTCCAGAACTCATCCAGGTAAGCCGGGAACCCTCCAAAACACCATCTACAGCTTCCACTCTTTCATCTGCCAAGGACACTCCCATCCAACCAGATGGATTACACCCAGTTGGATTAGTTCGATCTGCTGGATTGAAGGATTTCACCAATATCAGAGCTTCGTCAGAGGAAGTTTTTGTCCGTACAAAAGATAATTTACAGCCTAATGTCCCGGGGAGTGAAAGTCCTAGTATTCAGCGTGAGTGTGACCCTAGTAGGCCAGGCAACCCCTCCATTGACCCTCCCAGTGATAGTGTCAGCCAGTCTCAACCATTGGCTAGGGACGTACAACTTGCCGACCCTCATGCAGCGGCTATCGACGCTTCTTCCTCTTCACCTTCTTACTCTTCTGTATATTCTTCTTCTCACTATTCTGTTGGCACCTCCAAAAGTGTGTGCTCCACCATAGCTCATGCCTCCACCACCACCACTACTACCACCACTACCACTACTTCACCCATCAGTCCCACCGCCACCCACACCACCACTACCTCTACCCCGCTGATGCCCTCTGGGAATCACCACCACACTCCCCACACAATTGCTGCAGCTTTCACGTTACCCCCCCAGGCCAGCACTCCACTCAGCGAAGGGAGCTCCCACCAGCAGCCGAACCAGCACTTTGGAAGACACCATCCCCCGGACCCGAGAGTTTCCTTCCCAGTGGCTCCGCCGATACCCGAGACCTCGACTCCAATTCACGAGTCGTATCCGGAGCCTGTGAGATTTGTGCCAGAATCACCCATATCAGAACCAGAGGATCCAGATCCGCTGGTAAACCCGTATTATTATTACGCTCGTGCTGCCTTAGCTCACTGGCACGTGCGTGCACAAAGAACTCAGGAACACCAGCAAATTACTGAGGGTGATGGAAATAATAGTGATCAGGAAAATAGTACAAGCAGTAGTAGTGAAAGTAGTACAGCAAGTCGAAGATTTCTACATCTTAGAAATTTTCATCCAAATTACGGTGTTCAGTTAACAAGACCAAACGGAAGCAAGTTGGACACTCCTCCTTCAGATGCTCCCTTAATGGATACTCCTCCCTCTGATGCACCTGCGATGGATGAATCACCTATTGAAGAACCCCAGCTGCAGGAGTATAGTCAAGTTGATGTAGAACAGAGTGAAAGTACAGTTACTGATGCACCGTGTGAACCTTCTCTTATTGAATGTGAACAAAATGAAACTACTGAAATTCTACTACAGATAGCAGATATAGTGCATAATAACTCTATACAAAGTGAACCTTTGCAAAATGACCCTCAGATTATTTTTCCTCGGTTTCATAACCTTCCCTATAATAACAACATTCAAAGTAACCTTTCAACGACAAGAATTATGCTAGACGATTCCCCGCTAGATCCATCCCTGGATGACCCACCTGTAGGCGCGTACACTTATGATTGGCGAATGGACCCACACCTATATCAAGGCTGGTGGTGTGTGGGAGGATCAGTCAGCGAACATTTAGCAGCTCAAGTACCCACGCAACCAGTCTCCCCTTACGACAGCCCTGCTCATTCACCCACTGCTAGTTCGCCCACCATCGAACAGGTGAGGCCTGCCACCCACTCACGCCTCTGTGCCTTCACCTTCCTAGATATCCCATGTCCCCCATCTGGGCACTAGAGGGCATTGGGAAAAGCATGAAGCTAAATTATGACATGGCCCACACTGATACCTTCTCTAGTGTGCACACCTTTACCTCTGTGGAATCCACAAGTGATTGCTTCCTAATCAGACTTGTTAAATTAGCCCAGTCAGTCCAGAGTCCTGTTCTATAATGCTCCTTGTCCTACCATAGTCCTACATTAATAGGACTATACACTCCCCTGTCACCAAATATCTGCACATCCTTTTCCCCACTGCCTGCTTCCCCTTCTCTCTGCATGAAGCTCTCTGATCTTATTTTCCTCTCAAGCTGACCCAGTGACAGAGAGTGCACTAGATTTTTTCTAGATAGATACTAGAAAACCTAGTATAGATTGACCCATTGTTTTGACACTGCATGAAAAAGGTGAGCAGCTAGTAGTAACCCATGACAAGTACCAAGCTTGTGAACCAGTTGTGGACTACAACCACACATTCAATTATTATTTTATCAATAAGAATTTAATGAATAAATTATTATAAAAATAAAAAACATACAAAACATGATATTTATTACATTAAAAGAGGGAGATTTTGATAAAATGTTCACTGTAGCTCACCACAAAGGAGAATGAAACCTGACACCACTGGCTCTTAAGTCATGTGGGCCAGAACAGGTTTGGGAGGGGTGGTGTGTGTCTCAGTGTGACCACTTGGCTCAGTTGCCACTCCATACATTTTGTATTTATTAATAGAATTTTAAATTACAATAACAAATGTATCAACCAGGTTTAGTACTTATTAGAAGTTTGACCAGGAAATATACCATATATTTACTGTTGTAAACATGTTCTTGCTGGCAGCTCTAGTGAAGGGCTTCATCAGATAGTTTCTTTGGTATGAATTGTTATTGAATCTTTATACTCCTCAAATAGATGCTACAGCACAGTACTGTAGATATTAATGTATCATGAAACCATTCTATATTATTCTGCTATAATGAAAACAAAGACAAACTATTCAAACAACAATATTTTTTGTTTCTCAGAATATATTACATTTATTAGTGTCTGGAAACTGTGCAGCTATCATGAATAACGCATCAGGCAGTGGACTTAGTTTACCATTGTTTTGTGTTCCTGGAGCTTTACAAAAATAATAACATTTTGGAGAAGAAAATACTCGAGTACAGTACTACATATAAAGGACAGAAATAGACAGGTTGAACTCTTAAGCCCTGTCTCCTCTCTGTCATGAAGAGAATTTCATTTAAGGGTGACACTGGATGATCATTTATGAAGAATTGATGACAGGGGGAATAGCACTATGAGACGGTCATTTCGAGATTGGTTAATTATTTTTGGTGGTCATCGCGTCGCCAAATTCCTGAAAAGTGTAGGTATTTGTGGTATTATTTGGTTTAGAATTATTTTTTATTTATTTATTTACAGTATTTATTTATATGTTCAAGATTTAATGAAGCATATAATTTTACTTTTGAATATTGAAAGCCACTAGGAAATTTTCAAAGAAGCTTGTTTAATGTATGAAAATTATTGAACACCACAATTATATGATTAGTGAGTGTAATTACCATAAGAGAGTAAGACGCAGTGATTCAGAATGTCTTGGTACAAAAGATCTTGGTGGAAAATTTAGCTTGATAAAATCTGTCGTGTACTTTGATTTGACTCGTATATGTTGCTGTTTAACCTGTGGAAATGTTATAGTGTTGGGATAATGTAAATAATAAATACTTTTTTTTTTCATACTTGTGTCATACGTAGTCTAGGCACTGATGCGTGTGTTGTCCGGTAAAGTTTCAGTTCACACCTCAGCAGAACAGTACAGTACCTACCTCATGAAACCCACACACACACACACTGGCAGCGGGACTGAACCCTTGTCTCGTGGATCAGTAGTCCCGACCGCTACTTGGAGATCCATAACTTCAATATATGGAACAATGTAATACTGAGTCACTGACGTACATTACTATTTGAGATTTGAAATTTGGCTCAAGTTTTCTCAGTACCTCTTGGCACATTGAGTGTGATAATTTTATGCTGTACTGAACTGAACTGTGAAATATTTGTTGTAAAGCCAATATCCCGCCTGCTAGGGTATTGACTAGCTACTTAATAGAGTAAGATGAGGTCCTTAACAAATTAGTCCAGAGAATTTGTATAGAATATTCCCTAAGTATCCTGAGTTGATTTACTGATTTAATTCACTTGTCATTCTAATTTTGAATACACAGTCAGCAATAGAGGACTTGTGTGTGGTAATGATGATGGGACAAGTTGCATTAGTCTAGATATCGTACAGCAGATATATTTCCCAGGCTTTGTAGAGTCAGTCATATGTTGTTACGGTCATTTTCCTTTGATGTCATCTTTAAAAAAAAACAGATCGTGCCGTGTGAAACTCTTGTAAAATTAGTTCACTTATTCTTACGTCACACCCGCATCTCGGGAGTGCCGTAAAATCACATAGTTCAGACAAACGTCAACAACACCTGGATTTTAATTGGTGTTTATTTCACTCATTATATAATTAAATAATTCACCTACCTGTACATTATAATTCTTTTAGTAAATAATGATGCTTGAATAGGATGTAAAATAAGTTGTACAACATCACAATCATGAATAACACAAATCAAAGTGAATACTGTACAATATACAAACTAAACAATCGTTAATGCTCTTGTACAGTATATATAGTATTATGAATAACTAATGACCTAATAGTTATGTGTATTACGAAGATGTGAGCAAATTTGGGGACATTTTTATCCCCACACATAAACCCTATTTAACCCTTCACTTCGGGGACGCCGCTTTTAATACTTTATTTGGCAAACACCGGATGATTTTATTCAGCTTAGAGGTGACACCATACACAAGGGGCTTAAATACATTTCCTTATGATTCAATTTTGTTTTGGCAAGGATAGTATCAGTTAGCCTTTAAACCCTTATCAGAGTTACTAACAGATTGGTTCCTTATTTTGTTTTGCCTGGGATAATTTGGTGTTTTATGGTATATTTAGGTTGTTTGTGGATAGTTAAAGAGGAGGGTGTGTGTGTGTGTGTGTGTGTGTGTGAGTGAAAGTTAAAGAGAAAGTTCCATCTGAAAATTAAAGAGGAAGTCCTGTGTGTGAAAGTTAAAGAGGACATTGTGCATTTGAAAGTTAAAGAGGACTATGCATTAGGAAGGTAGAGGAAATTTTATGTTAGAAATTTTAAGACGAAATTCTATATGAAAGTTAGAGAGTTGTATGTGTGAAAGTTAAAAAGAAAGTCTTATTTGTGACAACTGAAGAGAATTTTATGTAGGTTAGAGAAATTTGCAAATGACAGTTAAGGAGGAAATGAATGTAAAGTCTCTAGCAATGAAACCACATAGCACTTGCCCTGACTCAGGTACTGTCGATATATCCAAGTGATCCCCTAACTTGCTGTGGTGCCTGGAATATGAGTTTTATCTTATGGTTTACTATTTTAGTGAATGGTTTATTTTCTTTCTTTTTTTATTTGTCTTTTGTTTGGTGGTTTATTTTTGGTTTACGCAGTTTTGCACACCTGATCCGCCAGGTTGGGTGATTGTTGAGTTAAAGTCAAAAGTGAGGTTCATCAGTACAAGCGACGGTGGAAGAATATTAGGGGTTTTGATGTTTCCTATTTCATGTTTGTCTGTGCTCTGCTCTGTCTGTCTGTTCATTTGGTGAAAGTTTTGTGTCTAGGCTGGAGTGTGTGTTTTTCATTAACTAGTTTAAGACATGTGATTGTCATTATATTGAATATAAAATACTAACATTACTGTATTTGTAAAACTTGGATTTAAACAACAGTAAATTCCTAACTAAAGTTCATGTTGCAGATGTTACTTGACACATGAATCATACATCTATATACAGGTATAAGTCCCTCCCTCCCCCTAGCCGGCCTTTGCCTGCAATGATGCAGGGTGGCCAGGTAGGTGCCAACTCCCTGATGATTAAAGTCCAACAGCTGGTATGTTACCCCATAGTACAACACTACAGTACAGGGTAGTCCATTAAAGGGTTGTTCCTTCATTAGCAAGGCTGCCTACTTGTGTATTTGTTTTATCTCTGAACACTGAAGGGTCACAGTACTCGGAAGACACCCAGTCCTCCACTCCAACCAGGAATAAAACCTGGAAATATTCACCTGTGAAGTGAATGTCTTACAACATACTGCAGTAATAGCTTATTTGTTGCTGTAGATTTCATTGATTATATTTGTAAAAGCGTCATATTTAGCCAGACTTTTAACTTGGTATATACAGATATATATACTTTAATACAGTACCCAGCCTTTGTCCAAGTATAAGCCATTGTGTTGGCTGAGTTTCTGTGTCACTGCTCTTACTTGCATCTTCCCTCACTACTGTTGAAGTAAAAGGGAAAACTTACCTTAAAAACTATCATCTTTTATGTTGCTTTTCCCACAATTTATGTGGTGGCAACCCCCAAGTGAGAAGGGTTAGCTTAACTAGGACAGTGGTCTGGCCGGTGACCAGCTCAGGCAGCACCACACCAACCCTACTTGGTCACAGGATTAAACCAGTGACTCGTGGATTGCGATATGTTGGTTAGAAATAATGTACACAATATGATACATTACTGTTATAATATCTCAGAAAGGAATTACTATAATGATGTGTTTTGGGCAACATTACGATTTATTTTTTATTATTTTTTTCTATTTGACTGGCAAGCCATACCTGCCGTGGCAGAGTCATGAGCAACACACTATCCCATCACTTTAGTCAACATTTATATTATGCTTGTACTGTACTGACATAATGTGGTCAACAGTTTAGTAAGATGATAAAGACATAACCTGGTAAACCAGCATGGTGACCTGTAGATGTAGGACCCCTAGTGAAGAATATTCTGTCATGGCTAGGATTAGCTTTTGCTCATATAAAGATTTTTGTTATACAGTATTGAGATTAATATGTACTGCAATGTCATATTTGTTGATTTGCCTGCTGTAATAATTTATATTTGGTTTTATGATTTCATTTGTTCTGCTTTGTGTACTGGCTCGTATCTTAAGATGTGAACCTTTTATTTGGTTAAGATAATGGTAATAAGCTCTCATTGCATCCAGTAATTCTAAAACTATGATTGTGAATGCCTCTTTAATGGATATTTTTAGATAGCATTAACTCTAATGAACTTATGCATTATGGTCCAGTTTTTCTGTCCAGGTTAATGAAGTGTTAGTCACTGAATGCTCAACTTAGGTCAAAATTAATGTGTTTTGACGTCTTCTTTACTGCAGACCGCAACTGTGATACAACTACAGTATACAACACTCAGCTACAGTACAATACACTATAATACAACATTAATTATGATGCAGTAAAGAAGGTGTTTGAGCATTGATGATATAGTATGTACCAGTTTCCTCTAAGCTATCACTAAGTCTTCAGTTAATCTCTATGAATACCATTTAAGTGTTGTAATGTGTTATTTTTCAACTGATTTTTATCATTGTTTGTAAATTTCATTTTTTCGTGGACATTTCTCGTAATTTTTTTTGATGTTTATGCATATTTTTTATATTTTGTGTCTAATATTTTATTCAGAATTTTATAACTTTTATCCACAATAGATATACACTACGTATATTTTTTAGACCAATATATTAAATGTCTTCCTATAGGTATTTACATAATGTGTATAGGTTTTAAATTACATAGAGTACTCATTTTTTTAACCTCTTCTTCACCACAAACTAAAACCAGAGCATTGGTGTATTTTATTAAGTATTAAGTAATGTAATGTACAGTGGTTTTGGTTTGAGGTAAAGATGGGGGCTTTAAGAATACCACTATTGACTATATTACTGTAATACTATAGACTGTAACTATTTAGTATTGATGATAATATTACAGTAATCCTATTTTGTAACTTGATGTGATTGCGGTTTCAGAGTCGTCGTCTAATGTGATTTTACTGTAATATTTCTTTCAGTTTGTTGATTTTGATTTGTGATTATTTCATTTATATTGTCTGAGTGTAATGTTTCTTTTGGTTTAATTACCTGATGTTAATGAGTCTCAGTTTAATTACCTGAAGTTGATGAGTCAGTTTTGTTACCTGTTGTTAATGAGTCAATTTTGTTACCTGTTGTTTATGAGTCATTTTAAGTACCTGCTGTTAATGAGTTCTTCAGTTTTGTAATGTATATACAGTATAATAATTCCTTCAGTTTAATTATTGAGTTGTAATTAATTATTTCAGTTATATCATCTAATTGTAATATAACTTCAGATTAATTATCATCAGGTTATTTTACTTTCATTTATTTAATCTTATTGACACATTCCCTCATTTTTATCGTGGGATTTTATTAGTTCCTCATATATTTGGTTTACTTTTGTTTGTGTGTTTGTTTTTGTTTATTTATTTGTATTTTGGGGTCTGTTAGAATGTATAGGTCAGGTGCCTCAAGTGCTATTGTCTCCAATAATCAACAAGAATAAAGTCTAGTCTTCACAATAATTAGACTTTATTTCACAGTTTAAATTAGGTTATTTTTATTACACATCTTGAAATATAATACAGTAGTAACTATTTAGCCTTATTGAATAAATCCTTAAAGAATTACCATAGTTTAAGTGTTTTGGGAGTAACGAGCGCACTCATACACGATATTCTTAACGTTATACGAGGTTAATCTCTCTTGTACGTCTTATGAAAGGATTAGGGAAGCTTTATACTGTATACGTAACTTGTATGGAATAGGGAAGGAGGGTTGGTGGAGTATTCACTTTGGGATTACTTCACTGGATTGGACAGGATTTTTGTGTTGAGTGAAAAGAATGGTTAAGGATTTATCTGAGTTCTCCTGTGTTTGGGATTAATTTCCTCTTTGTTATTTTCACTTGTTTTCTTTTGATGATTGATTTTTTATATAATTTTCATCATTGTTTTCTTTATATTTGATTAGAATAAGTAATTTGTTTGATCAACTTGTTTGTGTATGTCTGTAGTGAGCGTTGTTTATATCTGAGTGTCTGTTTTTCTTTTGCATGTCGACTAATCTGTCTTCTCCTGTTTTCCTTCTCCAGCCGGGCCTGCCAGATCACAAGAAGCAAGAGATCCAGGCTAGCTTACACAAGCCCCTCCAGCGCAGGCAAACGACCGAAGATTCTGACGATGGCATTGATGATGTACATTATGAACAAGGTCGTATTGATACCAAGGCGGGAGTGGAGGTGAGTCATGTGCTGCTCTTGTCGTTATAGCGGTAGAGGTATACTTTATTTATGATGTCTAAGAGTCGGTTAGTTTAGCCATGGTTAAGTTTACAAGGCATGAGATTCCCTGTGGTGCATACTTCAGGAATATGTTTGTTTAGTTTTTGCTGTGTGCTCAGGGTAGACCACACACAAACCTGGTAGCTTGGTGGTTGAGTGTGTGTTAAGGTATCTAGCTATCAGGTAATAAGTTTTAAATATACTGCACAGCATTTTCATGATAGGAGCCAGACGCAAGGGAAGATTCTGTATGTACTCCATCAGAACTATATTAGAGAAGAACTACTGTAATAAATATTGAAAATGTACAGTGTGGATAATGCTGTAACTTGATACGTAATACTAAACTGTGAAATAACTGAATAATGATAATAATCTTTGTGGTCATTATATGAGTACATGTCAATTAAGGGTACTGTATACTGTACTGTACTAACAATGTGGCTGTATTTGTGCAGGCATCAGGGAGTACAGTGGAGGAAAGCTTAGAGTAACCTGAAACAGATTTTGGGGGGATTAATAATTATATATTTTATGATTCCTTATCAGACAAATTATGACTAGGTAGGTGAAAGCCAGAATTAATATTTCTAGATATATTGATATGGGTTTGCTGCTCTGAAATATCCATGTCATTGTGGAGTTACACTACATGACACATTGATGATGTGTTTGTGTGTGTGGAAATGTAGCTCAGTCCTGCATTACATTATGGGATGACAAAAGCACATCACTCCCGGTAGCAGACAGGCCATGCTTACATTTCCCCCAGTTCAGAGTTATCACGGTAAAATATATTTAATATTGTCCGCTCTGATAAGATTTTTACATTATTATACTTTCTAAAAGATATATTGAGGTACAGGTATTGTTATAGAAGAGTTTGTGATTGCTCGAATAACCCCCAAATTATACAGTGCCTAACTGCACTCAACTGCCTCAGTAAAATTTATAATGTCTTTCATATGTTTATGTGAACCTTACAAAGAATTGTTGGTTGTTTCTTTTTATAAAATTTTTATTGGTTACGCCAGTGCTCATTATTGGGTGTTAATAGATATAGTGTATTCCTCACACTTTGAAGTTACTGCAAGATCTCTTATAATAAAGGAAAATTAAGCAATTGTCTTTAATGAAACAGTGGTGAATTTCATTTGATTTAAATATTTACAGTAGTTTGCAACTAGTGAGACTGTTCTAGTTAGTAAAGATTATCTATTAGTATTCACCTCTGAGGAATGGAACTACCTTTAGGCCTGATGTACTGTATGTCATTATTTCAGTGTAATTCATCTTTACTGTTCCATTTCCTAACAGATTGATCGTGCTAGTGCTGGCGCAGTCAGACGCGGCAAGGCGGAGAGACAGGCGGACACCGAGCAGGAGGACGAGTTCGGCTACACCACAAGTGAGTGTTACATTATTCTCAACAATTGTTATTTATTGTCTAATGAAGGGCAGAACCTGGAACACATTATTGTTATAAAGTTTACACCAAGTTTGACTCCAGGTCTTGAATGTGGAGATACACCTTGGAGGTAGACCTTGGGATGATTGTTTTACTGTACGAGTCATTTAATTTTATAAGAAGTCTGTGATACAAGTTTCAGAATACAGTTTCATGTTTGTATGTAATGATCAAAGTCCCAGTTTCTTCCTTGAATTTAGTGAAGTGATTAAATATGTGGCTTATTTCTTCTTCATATTGATTGATTGAGTTTGGTGAGGTATTGTACAAGCAGTTGTGGTAAGTTTTATCTTTTGCTGAAGCTGAAGTGGAAAATGTATCGCAAAATCTGCTATACTGTACCATAAAGAGAATCACAAACACTGCTCTGTAATATCCCATCTGTTCCACACTAGGGAAGTCTTCTGTTAGTTATTTCTCCCCTTGTAAATGTTTCCCCTCTCTGTTCTGATTAATGTTATTGGAGCAGAGTTTAATTTAGGGTTGAGAGCAGTAATCTGACTTTGTATTGGAACATTTCCACTTCACGAATAGGAATTGAATCTATTTTATTGTCGTCATTGTGCATTGGCAGTTTAATGAATAAGGTAAGTGGTTATTCATGTGTTATGTGTTTGTTTACCAGTTGTCGTGAATATCGTATCTGTTTACTCGTGTTATGTGAGACGTCTTTTATTAGGTTCAAAAGCTGTGTGTTTTGTTTTTTACCTAAGAGAGTTTATGCTGTATTTAGTGTACAACCTACCGGGTATAACTTCACCAATGGACTTGTTACGTGGGAAGCGTAGTTTCATAATGAAGAGGTGAACCATGTATATTGAAACACTGTTTGTTGGATGATGTTCCCATGACGTTAAAAGGAAGCTTATCATTCATCTGGTAATATAATCAGAAACTCTTTTGAATATACCTCACATGAAGTGTGAACACCAGTTAGGTGAATTGTGCGTAAAATGCGTTGTACAGTACAGTACATTGAAGAAAATTGGGGTAAGACTTGACTTCTGTATTGGACTTAATGTTGATGGGTGATGGGGAAGAATTCTTAATGTCATTCAGCATGGATGACTACAAATGAAGAGGTGTCTGCGTGTGTTGTTGGTTCGTGTTTATTCTTGGTTCTGGCCATTAGAGAAAATGTTCCCAAGATATAGTGCTTATGTATCCAGATTTACTTTACAAATGAAATGAACTTGTATTGGTTTATCCAGTTTAAGGCATTTATTGTTCTTGTTGATGGCTATTTCAAGTAATAGTTTAATCAAGGTTAAAAGAAAGTATTGATTTACAGTAATTGAGGAAGGGGAATATTGTATACAGCATTAGGGGAAAAATAGTCGCCACTGCTGGGGGGAATAGCCTAGTGTGGTCTTGACTGTGGATCTCGTAACTTGGGTCAAAATATCAGATTGCCTCGGGATTTTTCAGAAGGCGATCAAAGGAAACTGAAGTCAATTGTAATGCCACAGAGATAATGTTGTCTGACGTGGAGAGGAAGCATTATCTCTCAACTGATTCAACTGAGGTGAATTTTCCTTCTTGGTTCTTTGGATATACTAATGGTTAGTAGGCTGAACAAATGTGAGTGTATTAGTTTTGAGTCTGGCTATTTTATTTATTTGTTCATATTCAGTTACATTATTATTATTATTATTATTACATTTTTTATTATTACAATTATTATTATTATTATTATTATTATTATTATTATTATTATTATTATTATTATTATTATTATGAATCACCTCAACATTAGCCCCTTCCAACTTATTTCACCTTTAGATTAACCACCCTAATGTTAATTTAACCTAATCTCCCCAGGTTAAACAGCTTAATCATCAGGTGATCCTTTTTAATATACCTTTACCTGTGTTTATTGGTCACTAAATAACAGTACTGAATATTGTAAACTTTGTGGTGAATTGAAGATTGGTTGGGAGATTAATAGGAAATATAGTATAGATGGACTTGTATGATACTGTATCTATTTTGTATGCACACACACACACACACACACACACACACACATGAGAGATATACTATATTCAATCGCTAAAAAAAACTATCGTTACAAAAATTACGCGAGACAATTTGACACAACGGACGAAGGATTATGAATATCCCCACCGAGACAGCGGGAGTCGCAGTGTTCACTGGAATTCATCCTCCTCCTCCTCTCTCCCTCTCCCCTCCCCCCTCTTCCTCCTCCCCCATCCACAGTAAACAGTGTGTTTTGAGCGACCGTACATGCGGACACAGATTAATATGCATAGAAACCTCCGTATTCTGTTTGGAATATAATGTAAGCTAAAATTCAGGTATCCTGTACTTAATTTTGTATTTAGTGATATTGTATTGTATTATTGTGTTCCTTAAAGCATTGTGCTGAACATACCTTGAAATTAGATGTACAGTGTGTGTTTATAAGTACTTATTCTTGTTCGTATGTAAATATTTTTGTTCGTAAGTATATATTTTTGTTCGTAAGTATATATTCTTCGTGATTACTGCATATATTCTTGGTTTGGTGAGATGAAGGCTTGGGAAAATATGCAGTTTATGTCCTTATATCCTCAGAAAGTTTTTGTTAAGCGAGTGTTATTAGGGTCTATGAATTATTCCTCACTAAGACTCGTCAAGCTAATGGTCCAAAGAGACTCGAGGGAAGAGGGATTTTGTGGTGGTAGCGGAAGGTGTGTTGGCGTTAGTGTGAGGGGGGGCAGGGTACCTAGAGTGAGTGTGTTGAAGTTTGGTTATTGACTTCCATGAGTGAGTGTGTTGAAGTTTGGTTATTGACTTCCATGAGTGAGTGTGTTGAAGTTTGGTTATTGACTTCCATGAGTGAGTGTGTTGAAGTTTGGTTATTAACTTCCATGAGTGAGTGTGTTGAAGTTTGGTTATTGACTTCGTTGAGTGAGTGTATTTTAGTTTGGTTATTGACTTCCTTGAGTGAGTGTGTTGTAGTTTGGTTATTGACTTCCATGAGTGAGTGTGTTGAAGTTTGGTTATTGACTTCCATGAGTGAGTGTGTTGAAGTTTGGTTATTGACTTCCATGAGTGAGTGTGTTGAAGTTTGGTTATTGACTTTGTTGAGTGAGTGTATTTTAGTTTGGTTATTGACTTCCTTGAGTGAGTGTGTTGTAGTTTGGTTATTGACTTCCATGAGTGAGTGTGTTGTAGTTTGGTTATTGACTTCCATGAGTGGTGTGTTTGAAGTTTGGTTATTGTAATTTGCAAAAAAAAAAAATAATTCACCAAAAAATGTAATTCGCAAAAGAATTAATACCCAAAAACTGTAATTAGCAGAACTACAGGTGCAAAACAAGCTGTAATTTCCATACCAGTACAGTACCTGGTTATATATATCGTATTTCCCGTGACCATCCCAAGCGCTATGATCATTCTAAAGGTCAAAGTCACAACTCTGATGAAAGCTGTACCTTACCCATTTTTGTCTTGCGTTCACCCTCATGTATCAGTTAAGGTTTCATTAGAAAAGCTTGTGTGTGAATGTTCTATCTTGTCTCTATTGCCTCTTGTACAGTATATATTGTTTATTTTGTGGTTGTCATCTCCCCAGAACACATTGTGGCAGTTTCTCATTACTCATCGCTGTTTTATTATAGCAAAATTATTAAAAATACTTCTTTGGCGCTCCTCATCCTTGCCACCCAACCTGCCTCCTCTCATCCTCCTGCCCCTCCTCCCTCCTACCCCACGCCCCCTCCTACCCCTCACCCCTCCCTACCCCTCACCCTCCCTACCCCTCACCCTCCTACCCCTCACCCCTCCTACCCCTCGCCCTCCTACCCCTCGCCCTCCTACCCCTCGCCCTCCTACCCCTCGCCCTCCCACCCCTCGCCCTCCCTACCCCTCGCCCTCCCTACCCCTCGCCCTCCCTACCCCTCACCCTCCTACCCCTCCCTTCCCTCCCCTACCCCTCCCCTCCTGCCTCCCTACCCCTCACCCTCCTACCCCTCCTCCTCCCCTCCCCTCCCCCTCCCCTACCCCTCGCCCTCCTACCCCTCCCCCTCCCTACCCCTCGCCTCCTACCCCTCCTCTCGCCCTCCTACCCCTCCTTCCTCTACCCTCCTCTCCTGCCCTGCCCTCCTACCCCTCCTTCCTCTACCCCTCACCTCCTACCCCTCGCCTCCTACCCCTCCTTCCTCCACCTCCCTTCCTCCTACCCCTCCTTCCTCCCACCCTCGCCCTCCTACCCCTCACCCTCCCCCCCTCACCTCCTACCTCGCCTCCCACCCCTCTACCCCTTCCTCCTACCCCTCGCCCTCCCACCCCTCCTCCCCCTCCTCACCTCCCCACCCCTCACCTCCTACCCCTCACCCTCCCTACCTCACCTCCTACCTCACCCCTCCTGCCCCTCACCTCCCCCCTCCCCCACCCCTCCCCTCCTACCCCTCGCCTCCCACCCCTCCCACCCTCCCCCACCCCCTCCCTCCTACCCCTCACCCTCCCTACCCCTCACCTCTCCTCCTCCCTCCCTCCCTGCCCTCCCCTACCCCTGCCCCCTCCCCCTCCTCTCCTGCCCCTCCTCCCCCTCACCTCCTACCCCTCCCTCCTACCCCCTCCTACCCCTCCCTCTCCCACCCCTCCTCCTACCCCTCCCTCTACCCTCACCTCCTACCCCTCACCCTCCTCACCTCCTACCCTCCCCTCTACCCCTCCCCTCCTCCTCCCTCCCTCCTCCCCCCTCACCTCCTACCCCTCCCCTCCCCTCCTCCCTCCTCCTGCCCTCACCCTCTACCCCTCCTTACCTCCCACCCCTCGCCCTCCTACCTCCACCTTCCCTCCTTCCCTACCCCTCACCCTCCTACCCCTCACCTCCTACCTCCCTCTACCTCCCTCCTCACCTCTGCTCACCCTCCTACCTCTCCCACCCTCCTCCTCTCCTCCCCGTCCTCCTACCCCTCACCCTCTCCCTCACCTCCTCCCCTCCTCCTGCCCTTCTCCCTCCCTGCCCTCTCCTCCTGCCCTCACCTCCTGCCCCTCACCCTCCTACCCCTCACCCCTCCTACCCCTCGCCCTCCTACCCCTCACCCTCCTACCCCTCGCCCTCTACCCCTCACCCCTCCTACCCCTCACCCCTCTACCCCTCACCCTCTCCCCTCACCCTCTACCCCTCCTTCCTCCCACCCCTCACCCCTCCTACCCTCCCTCCTCCCTCTCCCCCTCCTACCCCTCACCCCTCCTACCCCTCACCTCCCTACCCCTCCCCACCCTCCCTACCCCTCCTCCTCCCCTCACCCCTCCCTACCCCTCACCCTCCCCACCCCCTCTCCTCCCCCCTCACCCTCCCTACCCTCCTCCTCCTACCCCTCCCCCTCCCCCACCCCCTCCCACCCCTCACCCTCCTACCCCTCCCTCCTACCCCTCCCCTACCCCTCGCCCTCCTACCCCCTCTCACCTGCCCTCCCCTGCCCTCTCTGCCCTCCTTCCTCCTCACCCTCCTCCTCCCTCACCCTCCTACCCCTCCTTCCCTCCCCTCACCCTCCTACCCCTCGCCCTCCTACCTCTCCCCTCCTCACCCTCCTACCCCTCGCCCTCCTACCCCTCCTTCCTCC